TTTTTGGTGCTGGGGAGAGAACCCAGGGCCTTACATATGCTAAACACATGCTCTACCACTGAGTTACATCCCCAGCCCCTTTTTTATTTGTACATGAATCATATTGAGCTGACCAGGCTGGCCACAGACTTGGGATCCTGCTGCCTCAGTCTCCCTTGTAATTGACATTAGAGGCATGTGTCACTGTGCACAGCTTGGTTTGCAAATCTTTTCTCCTGTTCTTTGGATTACCTTATATTTGGTTGTGGGGTGTTTTTATTTGTTTTGGTACTGGGGATGGAACCCAGAGACCCACTTATTCTAGCCTAGAGCTCTATCACTGAGCTACAGCCCCAGCATGAATTGCTTTTTTTTCTCTGCTGAGTATTTTGCTGCCTTCTCCCTTTCTAGCACGCCATTGTATACCATAATTTTTCCCATGTTTCCAGCGGATGGCCTTTGGGGTTTGCGTGTAGACTGATGCTGCAGGTTCTGCTGTAGTGGGGCTTGGTCTGTGCAGCTGCCTAGGTGTGCTCCAGAAGATGTTCTGGAGGCAAATTGCTGGCCCAAGAGTGCCTTCATGGAGCTTTTGCCGTGGATACACTGCCCTCCACAGAAGCTGTGCCATACCCATACCCTCTAAAAGAGAGTGGCAACACTGTGCTCCACCTATACAACTCTCGGCCACAGGTTTGCCAGACAGCAGCCAGAAGCACCATGGCTCTGTGTGCATGTGCAGACATGTGCGCACAGTCATTCCATTTTGTTCTACTTGAGTTTCCATTAATTTAGTGTTTTCTGGGAATTCTGTGTTAGGGACTGTGCCACTTCATTTAGATGTAAGTTACATAATTTTTCCTAGTTCATCAGTCTTTTAATTTTGTTATGTGGTGTTCTTTTTCCAGAATGGATTTTTCTGTAGCTGTGTAGTCAGATGTGTGCACTTTAATTTTTTCTTGCATTGACATTCCTTCAACATATGGCAGGTTTGTGTGTTTTAATTGTTTTTTCTTTGACTATAAACCTAGAGCCAGTGCATTGGCAACATGGCACCCCACATACCCCCTTATGACTGAGGGAGGCATTATCTTTTTAAAAATATTTATTTTAGTTATAGGCTGACACAATACCTTTATTTTATTTTTATGTGGTGCTGAGGATTGAACCCAGTGCCTCATGCATGCTAGGTGAGAGCTCTACCTCTGAACCACAACTTCAGCCCAAGGAAGGAGAGAATTAGGCTGAAATGGAAATACATGTGGTCATTGCTGGTGGGCTTGGAGGTCTCAGAAGGAAAGCAGCAGGATATACTGAGGAGGAAGGGGACCCGGGAGCACAGGGGCCGGGGTCCCTACCGACTTTAGGAGCCTTGTGCCCCAGCTCAGCAACAAGATGGGCAGGGGCTGTTGAAGGGATGATCTGGAACTGCTGTGGTGTGGAGAGGCAGATGGGGCACAGCAGATGAGCATGACACCAAGGAATTTGCCTTGGTTTGGTGTTGGTGGGCAGGAGTGGGGGCTGTGAAAGATTAGGTGTTGGCAGGGCCTGACCTTGGATCTGGGGAGGGGGCAAGGCAGAAGCAAGTGGCTGGGAGGATGGCTGAAGGAGCCTTAGAAGTGGGGCCTCTCACTAGGATGGGGTGCCCAAGGCTGGGGGCCAGGCCATGAGCTTGGTTTTGCTCAGGGTGGAGGATATTCATGAAGGAGTTGTGAGTGGGTCCAGTGGGCAGAGTTGTTCAGGAATCCTTGGTGGGTAGGTGGTGGATGTGGGGGAAGTCCCAGCTAGGTTCTTGGAAGGGGGCTGTGAAGAGGAGGAGGAGATGGGTGCTCAGGTGTGGGCAGCCAGGTGTCAGCCAGGCCTGGTGCACTCGGGGGCATCTTCAGACCATTCATGCTGTGCACAAGTCAGTGCCCACTCCCTCGCAGCTCCACTGTCTGGACGAGCACCTTATGCTCTAGATGCCGGGGATACTGCTGCTGTGGACATAGTGTGCTGCCGCCTCAGCCTCTGCTTCCAGCCCCACCGCAGTTGATGTGCTGAATTCTGTGGTGACTGTTCAGCTTTCTGAAAGACTGCCAAACTTTTCAGCAGTTCCCACATGCAGCTCAGATGCCAGTTCCTCCACATGCTCACCAGCATTTGCTGCTAGCCATCCTAACCCCAAAGTAGTTTCCCATTGGGGTGGGTTTTTGGTACTGGGGATTGAACCCAGAGGTGCTCTACCACTGAGCTACATCTCCAGCTCCTTTTTTTGAGCAAGGTCTTGCTAAGTTGTCAAGGTTGGCCTAGAACCTGGCTCTTCCTGCCTCAGCCTCCAGAGTGGGTAGTTAGAGGGGTGCACTGCTACCGTGGTTGTACATCCGCCTGGGTTTTAGTGGTGAGCACCTTCTCATGTGCCTGTGGGTAGTCTGTGTGGCTCCGTCAGAGAAGTGGCTCTCCAGTCTTGCTGGTCTTTAAATTGGTGGTTTTATAGCTGTTATTCTTCATGTCAAGCTCTTGTCAGGTGGTTTGCAGGTGTCCCTTCCCACTCCATGGCTGGCCCTTCACATTTCCTTATACCCTTCCGGTTGGGGCTGGTCAGACCCCAGAGCCTAGCATGTGCCTGGTGCACGTCCGGACAGGCCCCCATGCCCGCTTCTCGGGTCTGTTGGCCTGACTCTGCTGCTATCATCTGTTTTCAGTGCCAGGTCCAGGAAGTCCCTGTAGAGCGTCCCCATCTTCTTCCAGGAGTGTAGTTTTAACCTCGTAGATCCGTCTAGAGCTAGTGTCTATAGATGTTGTGAAGGTCCACCTTCGTTTAGTGCATGGACACCTACCTTCCTAGTGTGCCGCAGAGGGCTTGTCCTTCCAGCTGAGTGGCCTTGGCCCCTTTTCAGACGATTTGGCTGTATGTCCAGGTCCCTTTCTGGGTTACCTGTTCCACACTGTCATATATATGGTTTGTATAAATATATATATATATATATATATATATACACACACACACACACAAATATATATACATACACATATTTAGTTACACACAGACACAATCCTTATTTTTATGTGGTGCTGAGGATCAAACCCAGAGCCTCGCATGTGCTAGGTGAGTGCTCTGCCACTGAGCCATAGCCTCTCCACACTGTCTTTACGTCACTTAGGGGGAGGTCTTCCAACTTGGTTTTTCTTTCAAGATTTTTTTTTTTAAGATTCTGTATGAATTTTAGAATGGATATTTCTGCAAAGAAGTTATTAGGATTTTGACAGGAATTACATTAACTCTATATTCTGGTTGAGTAGTGTCATTTTTATTTATTTTTTAGTTGTACCCAGACACAATACCTTTGTTTTACTTATTTTATGTGGTGCTGAGGATGGAACCCAGTGCCTTGCACGTGCTAGGTGAGTGCTCTACCACTGAGACCCAACCCCAGTAGTGTCATTTTAGAAACATTAAATCAGGCCAGGTACAGTTTCTGAGGCAGGAGGATGGTGAGTTTAAAAGTCAGCCCTCAGCAATATAGCAAGACCCTGTCTCTAAATAAAGAGTAAAAAAGGTCTGGGCAGCTGGGGCTGTGGCTCAGTGGTGGAGAGCTCACCTAGCATGCATGAGGCTCGGGGTTCCATCCTCAGCACCACATAAAAATAAAATGTATCCACTTAAAACTAAAAAGTAGCTCAGGAGTAGAGCACCAGTGTTTTCCATGCATGTCTTTAGTTTCTTTTAGCAACATTTTGCAATTTTGGGTATACTTTTTTTTCCCCCTCCCCTCCTGGAGGGGATTATTTCTGAATCCTTCCCCTGAATGTTTTGATGCTGTTATAAATGGACTTGGATGGCTCCATGCAGCTTTGCTCATGTCCACCAGCTCTGGTCAGGCATGTTTGTTTTGGTTGGGGTTTTTGTGCAGTACTGGGATTAAGCCCAGGCATGCTCCACCATCAAGCTGTATCCCCAGCCCCTTTTTATTTTGAGACAGGGCATCTCTAAATTGTGCAGACTGGACTCAAACTTGCCTCCTCCTGACTCGGCCTGTGAGCAGCTGGGAATACAGATGCATACCATTAGGCTGGTGGGGCAAGTTTTGCTGACACCTTAGGTTTCTTCCTGGAAGCTGTGGCATCTGCAAGCAGGAGACTTCACCCCCATCCTCCCTCCACTCAGCTGCTCTACTAAGGAGCACCAGGGTAGGGCAGTGCTCAGAGCTCCTCATTCTGCTCCTGGTCTTAAGGAGCTTTCAGCCCTTCACCCTGATGTCATCTGGGGTGTGTGTCCCCGTCTTTCTCAGGAAGTTCCTTCCATTACCCCTGTATTTTCAATTGGGAAAGCATATTAGATTTTGTTAAGTACTTTTCACTGTATCAGTTTAAGTCACGGTTTCCCTTCACTCTGTTAAATGTGGTATGTTACACTGATTTTCCCCGTGTTGAGAGGAAGGTGACTTCACAGTGTATAATCCTTTAACATACTGGATTCAGTTTGCCAGTGTCTTGTGTGGTGCTGAGGCATGACAAACCCAGCTGCACACGTGAGGCACATGCTCTACCACTGACTTACATAGTTTTGAGGCAGGTCTTGCTGTCTTGTCCAGTTGGCCCTAGACTCCTACCTTAGCCTCCCACATGGCTCAGACTACAGATGTGAGCCACTCTACCTGGCTGGTTTTCTAGGCCCCCCACACCCCCCAGGTTTTAGAGTAAACATACATTCAACATGTTGTTTTGCAGTTTGACATTTGGCATGATGTCTGCTCTGGCTGGAAATACAGGCCGTGCAGAGGGTTAGGAAGTGTTTTGGAAGTCTGGTCACCTATCTCCTTAACAGCCAGGGTGTCCCCAGTGTGGTCCCCTAGGTTGGTGTATGCTGCTGTGTTACTGTCTAAAGTATCCTCTCGCACAACCCTGTTCTGTTTGTGCATTTGGTAGCATAGCTCAACTTCCACTTCTGGTTTGAAGGATTTGAGGCTTCCCTTTGTTTCATTCTAGCTAAAGCTTTGTCAATTTTGTTGACTTTTTCCAAAAGAACTAACTTTTGGTTTATTTTTTGTATTTCACTTAGCTCTGCTTTGATCTTTATTATTTCCTTCCCGAGGATTTGCTTTTCTTTTTCTAATTGCTCTAGGCATGTGAAGACAGTATGAGGGGTTTTTGTTTTGTTTTTGGTACCAGGGATTGAACCCAGGGTGTGCTCAGCCACTGAACCACATCCCAGCCCTTTCCTATCTTTCCTTTATCTTATCCTTTCCTATCAGGGTCTCACTGAGTTGCTAAGGCTGGCTTTGAACTTGCAATCCTCCTGCGCCGCTGGGATCATAGGCCTGTGCCAACGTGCCTGGCTCACTTTGCTTTCTGGCCGAAGCTCTGCAGTTGTCTCTGACTTACTACTTCTGCCACATCCCATAGGTGCCTCCTGTAAGTTCTGGTGTCTTTGTTCATCTCATCTTCTGTGACCCACTGCATAAGAATGTGCTGACGGTTTTCGGTGGGGATAGCAAAGTGGTCTAGTGGGTGCCTAGCACATCTCAGGCAAACCCGGCACTGCAGAGGAAGCAGCGTTGACTGTCCAGCCTTCTGCTCTTGATTTCTAGTTGCAGTCCAAGTGGAATAGCGCTGGCTTTGTGGTGGGACATGCAGCTTGTTCTTGAAAAACTGTGTGCACACGGCTGAGGTCCACTGGTTCACAGTATGGATCACGTCCCTTAGAAGTGGAATATTGCTGGGTGTTGTGCTACATGCCTGTCATCCCTTGGAAGGCTGGGAAAGGAGGATTGCAAATTCAAGGCCAACCTCAACAACTGTCTCAAAATAAGCAAAAGAACTGGGGCTACGTCACAGCTCCAAGGTCAGGGCCCAGTACCTCCCTGCAAAAAAAAATAAAGGTAGAAGAATGGTGTCTCCAAGCCTGATGGTGGAACTCTGCCTCCCCATCATCCCACCAGCCCCAGCGCCACAGCTTGGCCAGCTAACTCTGGGTCCACATGCAGTGTCGTTTAGCAGTTTCTGCGGTAGTCAGTGCAGCCACCCAGCTCCATGTCTTCCGCATCCCTGCACTTTCAATCTATTTGTCTTTGGAGCTAAAAAAGTCTCTTAAGGTATCAAAGCTCCAGAATATATGCTTGAGTCCAATCTTCAGCACCCCACCAAAAGAGGGTAGGGATATTCCTAGATAAGCAGCACCCTGGGGTTTTGTTATTAGTTGACCCACCTTAGCAGAAATGCCACATGGAACCTGTTGGCTGGAAGTAGAGGCCCTGGCCAGTAGCTGGTGAAGGCTGAAGTCCTTCACTAGAGGTAGGTACACAGGCAAACAGGCCCAGGCGTCCTCTGTTTTGTATAATTGGAAAACAAATGCATAAAAACTAATTATACGTCTGTGAGCATAGAGACGTGAGCTGTAACATAGGTGGCTGAGCCGGGCCTGATGGACCTGTGCAAGAGTAGCTCCTGTTTGTAAGTAAGGTTGAGTTTGTGCAAATTCAAGTCAGATTTATAGCCGTATGTGGTACACACCTATGATTCCAGTGACTTGGGAAACTGAGGCAAGAGGATTCTAAGTTTGAGGTTAGCCTCGGCAGCTTACGAAGACCCTGTGTCAAAATGAAAAATAAGTGCTGAGGACGTAGCTCAGTGATAGAGCACCTTTGGGTTTAATCCCCAGGACCAAAACAGTGGATGTGTTTGAATCGAGGGTGTTCTATGTAGCCTCCATGGTAGTGATAAAATGTGTTGCTATAGGCTAACACAGTGGTGCACACACATATCCCTGCTGCTCTGGAGGCTGAGGCAGAAGGACCACTGGAGCCCAGGAGTGGGAGATCCTGTCTGGCAGGAGAGGCCACTGCTGCAGCACCTAAGAAATCTTGAGGGACAGAAAGCCAGCTGTGCACCTTAGTTGCTTTCTCCTTTTTGGCAGCAACTTCTCGCCAAGATGCAGTTCCTTGTGCACAGAGGGAACCCAGGATGAAGGGGCGCACACTACTACTTAGCCACACCCCAGCCCACTCCATTTTCTTCTGGTAGAATTTTCTGTTAGGTGGTCTTTTTCCTGTTTCTTTGTATGCCTCGTGATTTCTGTTGTTGAAAATTGGTCCTTTGAGAAAGCTCTGCCCATCTCTGTGGACTGGTCCTCCTCCTATCTTCCTGAGCCTGCACCTGCCCTTTAAGTCCTGCACACCAAGGTTTGTTTCCCAGTCCTACCTGGTGTCTCTTTGGGCTGCCACAGGCATACGGTCCCTGCTGAGAGTGGCATTGGGCACAGCACAGCCCTGCTGTCTCTACAGGGACGTGGGCACCACAGAACCTGTGTGGCGGGCCTAATGGTGCTCTTTGTTGGTGGCAGCCTGGAGGCTGTCCCTGGCTCTATGGGGAAAGGAGGTTGGTGCTTGCTGGTCCCCTTGCCTGGGTCCCCTGGCTTGGTGGGTGTCAGGTCTGTGCTGTACTCACATAGCCCTTTCCTCCTCCAGGGCCTGCGCATCTCTTCAGACTCTCTGGCAAGTGCTTCAGCCTGGTGGAGTCCACGTGAGTACGGGCAGGCCTGCTGGGGGTGGGTGTTGCAGACCCGAGGATCCCGAACCCCCTCTGCCCCCAGGTATAAGTATGAATTCTGCCCATTCCACAACGTGACCCAGCATGAGCAGACCTTCCGCTGGAACGCCTACAGTGGGATCCTTGGGTGAGCAAGGCAGAGAATGGGGGGGGGCTCTGCCCTGCCCTGTCCCCACCCCTGCCTCACATGCTCCCTCCTCCCCAGCATCTGGCAGGAGTGGGAGATCACCAACAACACCTTCACAGGCATGTGGATGCGGGACGGTGACTCCTGCCGCTCCCGGAGCCGGCAGAGCAAGGTGGGGCTTGAGCGGGTACCCCGGTAGAGGGCCTAGTTCTCCCTCAGCCACCCACTGAGGTTCCCTCCCCAGGTGGAGCTTACCTGTGGGAAGAGCAACCGACTGGCCCATGTGTCTGAGCCAAGCACCTGCATCTATGCGTTGACCTTTGAGACACCCCTTGTCTGCCACCCCCATTCTTTGTTAGGTAGGACTCAGGATGGGGGCTGGGCTGGGGCATGCGGACTCAGCTGAGCCTGGCTTCTGTTGGGTTCTCAGTGTACCCGACCCTGCCAGAGGCCCTGCAGCAGCGGTGGGGACAGGTGGAGCAGGAACTGGCTGATGACCTGATTACCCCACAGGTGAGTGAGGCTCAGCGGGGCCCCCAGCTGGCCCCCAGTTGGTGCTCCATCTCTTTCCTCCACCTTCAGGGCTATGAGAAATCGCTGAGGGCACTTTTTGAGGATGCTGGCTACTTAAAGGGTCCAGGAGAAAAGGAACCCACCCAGCAAGAAGGAGGGACAACAGGCCTGGGGTTTGAGACCCTGGACAACTGCAAGAAGGTAGAGAGAAAGGGCAGGGTTCCTAGTCTTGGTTTCTCCCACGGGGGTCTCACCTATCACTGGAACTCTTGTTCCAGGCGCACTCAGAACTGTCAAAGGAGATAAAGAGGCTTGCCAGTCTGCTGAGCCAGCACCACATCCCCCACGCCAAGCCCACAGGTCAGCCAGGGCCAGGGCCCCCAGCCCGCCTCAGGTCTGCTGCCCGTGGGGCAGGACCTGACCTCCTGCCTGGTGTCTTGCAGAAACCTCCTACTCTGAGCACCTGGGCCAGCACTCTCCCACAGATGGGGTCTCAGAGCAGCTGAGAGGTGATCCAGGACTGCGTGGGAACACCTCCTGACCTGGGCAGCCACATGGGCAGGAGGAGACAGTGCAGAGCCTCTGTGTCCTGCAGCAGACAGGCAGAGCCCTGGAGCCCACCTATGCAGGGAAGATGAGGCTCCCCCGGGCCTATCCACCAGGCAGAGGCACCCATGACGACCTGCTGGCCAGGCATTGTGCTCAGAAACACAGACAAAATAAAGATTCAAAGTTTTAATTAATTCCCATACTGATAAAAATAATTCCATGAGTTCTGTAAACCATTGCATATAGTGTAAAAAAATTTAAACAGATGTTAACAACTTTAAATGGTCCTCTACAAGTAAATGATCACACATTATAAATACGACCTTCTGGGTTAGGATAATCCGACTCAGCACATTCAGCTAAGTGCTGGACATACCACCCCGTGGCTAGTCAGTCAGTGTGGGACACTGATTGAACACTAGAGGGTGACAGACATCAGGAACACCAGCACAGAGTCACCACAGGGCTTCAGCACCCCTAGCCCAGGACCCCACCACCATCACCTGCCCACGGGACCCTGAGCCTCCCCAACTGCTGTGCTCTTGGGTGCCCAGAACAGATCAGTGGGTAGCATCCTGGGATCCTGCACTGCTGACCCACTCCTGGGCAATTCTTGTTGCATACCTATTTCCAGTGCCCTCCTGATTCCAGAAGAGCCAGTGCACAGAGGCCAGCACCATTGCTGTCCTAGCTGTTGCCTTGTGGCCCTTCACCTCTGCCACCATCCCAACCCCAGAAGCAGCGCTGGAGACTCACTGGAACACTGGCCAAATTCCACAAAAAAGAGCTGGCCGGAGTAGCTTATTACAGAAAAACCATTAAAAACAGCTGAGTTTTAGGTCTATGATTTGAAAATGTTTAGGCTAGACACCAGTAATAAATTTTGTCCTGTTATCTCCAAAAAGACCAAAGGCCCAAAATGGAAACAAGTGCATAAATATTAACAAAAATAAACAGCAAAAACAGTAGCACAAAATATATGTAATGTCTAGGTACTGAGCTAACAGGTCATCACTGATAAGAAACAGGAGCGCCACTAACCCACGTCCATAGGTACCTTCAGTAGTGGACTAGCTGCGGGACGTCACAGATTCACTTCCTTTGAAATGACAGAATCTCTCTATCGGTTTGTCTTATATTAGAAATTGCTTTTTAAATAGTCTACTGTATTAAATACATTCTAATTTGGTCACTGATAAAAATGTTTACCTAGTCACTTTGCACTTTAGAAAATGCTACTTAAAGTCTTTGGCAAAGCCCTGGGAGGAGGCACCAAACCCACAGTGCACCTGACAGATGTCCCTCTGCTCACCCAGGTGAGGTCTGCAAACATGGCAGACTTCTCTTCTCTCCCTAGGCACCTCAGACTGTTCTTAGCAGCATTCCTGCCACAGTCTGAGGCCAGGCTGCCTGGCACCACTGTGGCCCCAGGAGCTGATGAGCAGGGGCAGCATGGCAGAGCTGGGGCCCCGGGCCGCGGAGGCACCTTGCTGGTCACATGGATGAGCTCTAATCACAACTGACGTACAACTCAATTGACTGTCACCAATGCCATCAACCTGGCCACCATGCACTGCCATTGCAGTCTCTTGAGTCAGGTCAGCAGGAGTTGCGGGCAGTTGCATTGTGGGAGGTGCAGGTTTCCCAATTCAAGAAGAACCAGGGTGCCCCAGACATCTGAGAAGCTCCACGGGAACACAGCTGTCTACAGCATGGATCTGAGAGTCCTAACATCCACCCCTTCTGGTGCACACTCCTAAGACCACATTGGCCCTCAGAGCCTCCAGGAGAAGACAAAAACCAAAGGAACCGATTCCTTCACTTGTTGTGCAAGGCACAGGCACTTAAAGGGGCCCGAGTGCTTGGGGTCTATTCTGTGCCAGAACACAGCCAGCTGCACATGCCCTGCACACTTCGGGAAAGAGCTCCTTAGGTAAAGTCGAGAACATCCAAACGCGCATCTCAATAATTACTCTGCTTATAAATACTATGTTTGCACTGATTTGAAAATGTAAAATCCTAGGTTGGCGTTACTACTAGGTAACTTATTTCATAAGTAGTTCAGAATAAGAAATCTAATATATTCACCACACTATGAGTTGACAGCAACTGATGGGAAAGTTCAAGTTCACAGTACACATAAAGCTTCATGTTATCATATATTAAAAAACATGGACCTAGAAAGCAGCTTATAAGACTTAAAACTAAATTCCTCGGTTTACAAAGTGCTTTGAAGAGACCCCCCAGTGGCTTGGCCACTGCAGCATCAGGACCGTGGCACCGAACCTGCTCTGTTCACCAGGCCTCCACGGTGCTTACCATGGGGACAGGAAGTGGGTTCTGCGGTGCTTTAGGGTTTGGAGAATACCTTGAAGATGCCAGTGGGACATGGTAGGTGTTAAAAGTGCCACAAAGGCCACTGGTAGCAACTGGCATGGACTCGCGTCCTGACGGTGGCACCAGACGTGACTGTGGCACTCTGCGGTCTCTGCACCCATGCCCTGGAGGGAACGAGGCCCCACCTCTGGTCACCAGGGAAGGGGCTGACCCTCACAGCAGGGGCACTCAGGTGCACTGGCTGCACACGGCTCGCACAGGACACGGTGCTGGCAGGGCCGTAAGACGGTGCTAGGGGCCTGCTCCTGGCAGGCCACACACTGCTTGGCCTGGAGCTGGAGGATCACCTGTGGAGAAGGCAAGGCTGGTTCAGCCTAAGGCCACCTGCCCAGTGGAGCCCAGTGGGCCCATGGTCTTCCAGGCAGAGGGCAGCATCCTAGGAAGACACGGCAGCTATGGCTTCAGGATCAGAGGTGCCCAGAACATGAGGGCTGAGTGGACACCTGGCCAGGGGCCTCACAAAGGGGAGCCGCCAGCCGGTCCTGAGCCACTTACAGCTACAGGGGAGGGACTGGCTAGGACGACGACTGGGCCCAGGTGCAGCAGCTTGGTATTCAGTATGTGGGCCAAGCAGGACCCTTGACCAAGCGGGTGCAGCCAGACTGGTGCAAGCTGTGGCCTTGGCCACAGTTGGAGGGTGAGGGGAAAGCAGGGCTACAGAACCTGCCAGAGGCTCCACAAGATGACCTGGTGTGAAAGGGGCTTCCAGCCATGCTGAATGGGTGAGTTCTGTGCTATGCCAAAAAGGTAGGGCCCAGGGACCTGGTGTGATCACTCCTAGGAACAGCCCAGACAGTTCCCATTGCCCCCTGAGGTGGACAGGCCCACTTTCTCCACGGAGGGCACAGCCTCCTGCTTGCCAGCAGGAAGAAACGGGAAGAGCATGAAGGTGAAGGACAGGGGCCAGCCTGGTGGGAAAGGAAGTATCCAGGGCAGGGCGGGTGGGGGGGTAGAAGTAGCACCAGACCCTCGCCAGGCAGGCCCCCATCCTTCCAAGAACACAGCTCCTGGCACTGCCAAACCCCAGCACTCACCCCGTCAACAGCTTCCAAGTCCAGGCGCAGCTGGCTCTGCAGGGAGTGCAGCTTGGGCAGAGGGATGGCACCCACGTCACCACAGCCTCGCAGCCCAGGCAGTGAGGACAGGCCCAGGCCCTCGAGCTCTTCCTGCAGCCGCTGGACCTGGGCCTCCACCTCCTCCTTCTTCCGCAGGGCCAGCTGCCGGTCGCTGTCCGCCATGCGAGCCCGCTCCTGAGCCTCCTGAGCCTCTCGCTGCCACGCGTCACAGGCCTGAAACCCAAGGATGGGTGGAAGCAGCAGGGTGAGCTCTGCCCAGGTGCCCACTGCCTCGCCCACATAGCTGGGCCCCGCCCAAGTGCCTACTGCCTCACCTGCTTCACCTGCTGCCATGACTCCTCCCACTGCCTGATCTTCCTCTTGGCCTCGTCCAGCTGCCGCCTGACCCGGGCCAGCTCCGCACTGTGAGGACTTGCACTTGGGGCAGGGACAGTGTTCAGGATGGGGGATGGACTGGGAGAGAAGCTGCCAGAGACAAAGTCCCAGATGCTCCCAGGAACACCATTCAGACCTGGTATGGAGACAATGGTGCTGTGCAAAGACCTGGGAGGTTCTGTGTGTGCTCCTGCCCTCATGGAGCCCAGTTCCAGGACTAGCTCCCCCAGGGGAGGTTCCACCAGCTCAGGACAGGTTCTGGAACTGGCACAGGCCACAGTGCTGGTCACACCAGGCCTTTCCAGCAGGCCTGCTTCCCAACCCCTTGGGGAGTCTTTTTGTGGAGTTGGAGGTTGAACCCAGGGCCTTAGTATGCTCAGCAAGAGCTCTGCCACTGAGGCACAGCCCCATCCCTCGGGAGACAAGACAGGAAAGGAACTTAGTTCAGGGCTCCTGTGGATAGCATATGGGGCAGCCATTCTCCAAACACTCCATGTGCAGACCTGACCAAGGAGCTTCTATTTCCCTGGGCCACATATGCTACTCGTGTGACATCAGAAAGGGAGACCAAGCCACTTAGACACCCACGCTCTACTTTGAGACCCAGACAGGAGGATCCCCGAGGATGAGGCCAGCCTGAACAACATAGCGAGACCTCATCTCAAACTGTGTTCTTTTAGAATGTGGCAGGTCCGCAGGACACATCTCTCTTCATGGAGAGGCGAGGGGGTGCTGTTCCCAGGGCTGTTGTCAGGGACCCACCTCCTAGGGACTCAATCCCAGCTCTGCAGCAGACCCCCACCACCGGGGACAGCAGGTCCCTCCTGAGTGAGCCCACCCACCAGCACACAGCCCACACAGCCCACGCAAGCAGCTACCAGCACGCCACGCTGGTTTACTCTCCTGCATGGTGTGGGTCGAGCATGGCACTGCCCCCTCCAGGCAGGTGAGGTGCCCTGTGGTCAAGAGCACTTGAGACATACTCCAAGCACCAGAGCCAGCGGGAGTGATGGTGGGGAAGGGGGCACTCACCTAAGGAGCTGTAGGACGAGGCTGCGGAGCCCAGCATGGCCGGCTCTGACCTGAGGGGCAGGGGCTGCTGGGGGGGCGTCATGGCCGAGGAGACAAGTGGCCCTGGCAGCGACTGGGAGAGTGAGCTGAGCGGGGAGGTGGACAGGGATGAGGATGACTGCAGGGATGGTGAGCGAGGTAGGGAGCCCGGAATGGTGACTGGCGCGGAGCCTGCCAGCGGCCTGGGACCTGACAAAGGAGGCCAAGTAAGCACCAGGGAGGTGCTGCCCTGGCAGGAGGCTGTGACTGTGGCAAACCCCACCCTCACCCAGGCC